TAATGGATACGTTAACTAAGACATCCGTTTCTTAATCATTTCATTTTACTTTATTTATTGCAAATAAAAGAATGCCATGAGTGGCAATTATTGAAGCTTTTAGTTTTGTAATAACTTTCAACATTAGTCACTTCACACGTTCTCAGAAATATTGACAAAAAATCATAATAATCATTTTCTTGAAACATGCTACAGTTCAAATTTTCAGTAATCTTAGGATTAACCAGGTTCGAATCCCATCGGTGGTTGGTTGGGACGAATTTTACTCCTGGCTTGCATCGACCGCAGTGCTGACAACAAATATCCTCACTGGAAGAATTAGATTCTCTTTGCCGTCGACTTACAGTGGGAAGTTTTAGTGGTCTCCCTATCCATGTAACGCAAACACGGGTTAGTTCCACCAAAAAATTTCTCCACGAGAACTAGTTTGTCCCGATTCCCGATTATTGAAGCTTTTTGCTTTGTAATAACTTTCAACATTAGTCACTTCAAACGTTCTCAGAAATATTGACAAAAAATCATAATATTGGTTTCTTTGAAACATACTACTATTCAAATTTTCTATAAACTTAAGATTTACCAGGTTCGAATCCAAGCGGTGGCTGATTGAGACGAATTTCACACCTGGCTTGCATCGACCACAGTGCTGACAAAAAATATCCTCACTGGAAGAATTAGAATCTCTTTGCCGTTGGCTTACCATGGGAAGTTTTCGTTGTCTCCCTATCCATGTAACGCAAACACGGGTTAGTTCCGTCAAAAAAGTTCTCCACGAGTGCTAGTTTGTCCCGATTCTCAATACAGGAGTTCCCTTGTCTTCTGGATTGGTTTCAAAATTATAAAGTTTACAAAATTACAAGGTTCTGGTGCGTCAATTAGATTTAAAGGTGACAAGTGAGATCAAACTACTTTAATTTGGCTCTCTGCTGGACAAAATTATAAGGCTACGGAGTTGAAAAATGATCACATACTTAAAATTGGGTCGGCTTTTCTGAGACGGTTGTAAAATAAAATAAAATAATTTAAATCATTGTGCATTTCGCTTTAGTAAAAGTTTCTACGAATGTTTTAGGAAGTAGAACTGAGAGCCTATTTTTTAAGTGACAGGAAATAACATCATTATGCCATTTTCTCAATAGCAACATAAGTGCGGTGACAAAGTTTGCGTCATTTGAAGCCCGTTGCTTCAAAATAATTTGAGACTTTTTTTTCTCCTTCTTAGGAAACGTGAATGTACAGTTTCGTGTCACCTTTTTATGTATGTCGACAGCGAAATTAAAAGTGAGTTTTGTGATTTATGATGATGTTACGCATCGGTATTTGAAAAAAACTGTGAGAAACCACCTGTAAACTTTCTTTACAGAGTGTTTATTTTCTAGTCGCTATTCCAAAACATATTTTAATATTGTTAATGTGAAGTTTACGGGAAAAGCAGTTATATAAAAAAACTGTTTCTGGTAATCTCAATTAAATATGCTAATTTCTATTTCCTTCATAAAGATTTTGATGCATTTATTATTTTAATGCGTACAATTAAATAATAACTGTTAATTAAAGAAATAGAATTAGATTGAATAAAAATTAGAATGTATAAAATTAATAAAAGAAAATAAAGTTAACCGTTATATTTAGTTTGATTATTTAAACAAATTGTGCATTGCTACGGGCAGAATTTTTTTAGGGATTGCGTGTGTAACGAGAACAAATAATATACAAATAACTACAATGTACCTAATTTTCGGTGTCCTTTTGACAACTCTTATCACAGTATGTCATTCCTAACTTAGTACTAATTAGAACAAGCAAACTTATTACAAACTTATTGCTAATTATTACTAATTTAGAACAAAAAAACTTATTACAATTACAACAAACAAACTTATTACAAACAAACTTATTACAAACTTATTAATAATTATTACTAATTAGAATATATAAAATTAATAAAAGCAAATAAAGTTAACCGTTATATTTAGTTTGATTATTTAAACAAATTGTGCATTGTAACGGGTAGTATTTTTAGGGTTTGCGTGTATAACGAGAACAAATAATATACAAACAACAACAATGTACCTAATTTTCGGTGTCCTTTCGACAATTCTCATCATAGTATGTCATTTCTAGCTTATTACTAATTAGAAAAAACAAACTTATTGCAAACTTATAACTAATTATTACTAATTTGGAACAAACAAACTTATTACAATTAGAACAACAACTTATTACAAACTTATTACTAATTATTACTAATTAGAATGCATGAAATTAATAAAACTTAATACTAATCAAAGCAAACAAACTTATTACAAACTTATTACTAATTTAGAGCAAACTTATTACAAACTTATCACTAATTATTACTAATTAGAATGCATAAAATTAATAAAAACAAATAAAGTTAACCGTTATATTTAGTTTGATTATTTAAACAAATTGTGCATTGTAGTGGTCAGAATTTTTTAGGGTATGCGTGTATAAGGAGAACAAATAATATACAAACAACAACAATGTACCTAATTTTCGGTGTCCTTTCGACAACTCTCATCATGGTATGTCGTTCCAAACCTATTAAAGATCTTTGTGTGTTTAACAAATTCCTTGAATCAACGTCTGAAGGTTCCGAAAGGCGAAAAAAGCAGAACATTTCCTAACCCTTCATCATCGTTTTGTCCTTAATTGCGCATTCATCTCTCAAGGTATGAATTTATTGACCCTTGTTTGAAGAAAATCATCATTCCACGCATGAGAGCTTTTTACAACTTGGACCGTAACTCTCTTGTATTCATTATTTGTAAAATCGCCCAACCGATACGAAACACTTCAAGTTTTTTTTTTCATTCACGAGAGAAATTTTGTTCTCTACTCCCGTTTTTTACAAACTAATATTTTTTTTAAACTTAACACCACTAAATATTTTAGTAAAATTTCAGTTGCTATCTGTGCTTTGAATATTTTAAATTGTCAAACAAATTGTTCAACAAATTGAATTGAAACTCCCCCTCCCCCTCTTTCTTATATGGATCAGATACACAATAAAATATTTCCAGATCAAATTACACTATAAAGTACCGGCATTTTGGGTACATCATCTACAAAATCCCTTTTTATCGTAAAATATCATATCGTAAATTTTACATTAATGTTTATTTAGTCATAGTGATTTTACGGTAATTATTACGGTATTTCAGATTTTCGCACCGTAATATGTTCCGGTAAAAGGGATTTTACGGTAAAAAGTACCAGCACCCTGAGTGCTCATACTTTTTATCGTAATTTGATCTGTAAGTTTTTACAGTGTATATAAAAAAGCTTTTCGAAGACAAATTGAAGCTTTAGAAATATAACTATCAATTTAGAATTGAAATGGATCTATTTTTTACTTTAAGTAGTTCTTAAAATTTAAAACTATAATAAGAACTTGGTTTGGGAAATTTTTTATTAGCTTTTTTATGCCACTAAAAGCCACGCAAGATAAAAAACATCGTATGATTTATTTAATCCTTGAACTCATTTCTTTCATAACTCGCACTGTAAAAAATTCCGGAGAAAAGTACAGTCACTCAGGGTTCCAGTACTATTTACAGTAAAATCCAGTTTTACCTCAACAGGTTACAGAACAAAAAATCTGATGTACCGTAATTTTTACAATAGTTATTATTAATGTAAAATCACTGAATTACTATCATTAAATAAATATTACTGTAAAAATTACGGAATAATATTTCACGGTAAAAATAGATTTCACGATAAAAATTTATTTTACGGATGATACACTCTAAGTGCCAGTACTTTATACCATAATTTGATCCGGAATTTTATACAGTGGATGCTTTAAAAGCTAGTGAAATTATTACTTTAAGTAAGAAATTTAATTACGACACTCCCAATATAAACGCGCTTTTCTTATAAAAAAATCTCGCGCATTTTAAACCGGGCAAAACTGAAGCTTTCCTAAAAATTATTAATTAATATACATAAAATGTTATTTATTACTTTAAAATAGCTTTTTTAACCTATATGATAATCATATTTTTCATATTTATTATAAAAATTCATTTACCTAATTTTTTCGCTACAAGATGTTTAAATTACGTGATTTATGCATATATTCACATGTTGGAATAATTTTTTTTGAAAAATAATTTTTAAATCAAGTAACTTATTTACAAAATTGTTTAAAATTTTTTTATACTAAGTCATTAAAGAAACACTATATACAAATTTCTAAGTGTTAACGTAGACATTTTTTAACATTTTCCTGTATACAATATTGTAAAGAGAGAGAAAGAACACGATTGCGACAGTTTGACTAAAATATTTTATAAATGGAAGATTTGTGGTTTTTTAGTTTTAAAATTTGAAGTTCTGATGTTTCATAAAACAGTGCAGATTTTTTAATAAAAATTATTTCAAATCAACATTTAAACTAAGTTGTACTATGTCTGAAAGCTATTTTTAAAATAATATTACTGATAGGAATTTTTACAAAATTGCTTGCTAATCTTTACACTTTTAAGAATAGCTGGTTTAGAAGCAAAAAGTTTCTTTTTATTCTTGTTTGTTCCTATTTAATTATCTCGTGAGATAAGATGAATGCGTTGTGAACGTAGAGAATTGAACCTAAATGATATTTTTTTGTCATCGCATCAATCTCATTGCGTTCGAGATCTTATTTTCCTTTCATTATTCTATGACAATGTTGCCATTTTTGGCTAGTAAATTGTCTCGTAAGTTTTACGTTATAAAGATGAATTTCAGATCGTTTGCATGGAACAAAGTAAGCTGGTGACGACTTCAGTGGGCCAGTGAACTGGTAAAGCGACTTCTATTCAATTTTATAGACTATTGTTAGTTTCAATTTGACATTGACCCTGATTTTTAAAGAGGGGGTCACCCACTCCTTAAGGGTACTCCTCCACGAGATTTTTATTCACGTTTTAAGCTAATTGTCTAATGTTCTATTTCAAACCGCATTTTATATTTATTCTCGTTTATTTCAGGTGTTGAGTTTTCAAATGAGCCGCCTGACATCTTTGTTCTGTAGGTGGCTGAGTTTGGCGATTTTGATAGCGGTTTCTGCAGAAAGTGTTGACCAGAGTAAGTAATATTTTTTTAATGTATTTATTTCACAAATGTGTGCCATGTATACCATACATTGAAGGAACTATTATAAGGATATTCCATTAATAGCCAATAACAAGTTAGAATGTAAATCTATGTTAATGCTGCACATTTTTTGCTGCAGTTGTTTATTTTCTCATTCTTTCGAAAGATTGATAAAGCATTGTCAAAAAATGAATAAATAAGTAAATAAAATAAAAATAAAGGTTAATTTGTGTTTTGACTATGTTTGATGATGCTTATTTTATACTAAAATTTGTTAGACTGATTTAACCCTAATCTCTGAGCAATTTTTTCTAAGCATAAAAATATTCTGATAAATACTTCGCAAAATTTCAAAATATGCATTCGGTGATCAATTTTGTTATCTGGTTTTAAAATTAAGTAACGAAGCCAAATGAGAAAAAAAATAAATGAAAAATAAATGAATAAAAATAATAAATAAACTTAAATGAAAGAAAATATGAATAATTAAACAATTGAATGATTTAAAATTTAGTGTTTTAAAGTTTGAATTTATAAATAAATGAAGCATTATATCTGCTACAATAAGATTATTTCTGTTTTTTTTTAAAAGTATTTTATTCTACAAAAATGTAACAACAGTTATGGAATGTGAAATGACTGCGCTCCTTAAAATCTAATAGCTGCAATCATTCATTATTATTGTACTATTCCATAAAAGTTGCATCAATAATAAATTAGGTGATAATAATATAAAAAAACTGTAATTTGCTTTCATAAAACGAATCAAACCAAGATGAAAAAAAGGTCTCAGAAGCTTTCGGACTAATAAAGAATACTTTTTTATTATATCCAAAAAATATTGTCTTAACAAATTGTAGACATATCTTTTCAATATAAGACATTGAGCTGTGAAGACACAGGGGATAGAGCGCTCGCCTCCCAATAAGGTTATACGGGTCCCGGGTCTGAACCCCAACGATGGCTGGTCCGCACCCAGCTTACACCGACCACAATGACGTAAAATATCATCAGTGGTAGACGGAACATCGGTTAGAGTCCACTTGCCATCAGGCTAACCATGGGAGATTTTCGTGGTTTTCCTCTCCATGTAACACAAATGCAGGCTAGCTTCATCAAAAAGCCCTCCACGAAAACAAATTTCTTCGAATTTTTGAACCAAGAGTTCCCTTGCCTTCTGGATTGGGTTCAAAATTGCAAGCCTACGGAGTTAAACATTAGTAGTTATAAACCCAAAAATTGGGTCGACTGTTCAACGACGGTTATAAAATAAAATAATAATGATGTAATAAAATAAATAAAATAATAAGTTACATTAATTTTCTTTCGTAAATGATAATGAAGTATCACCTAATGATTGATAATCAAACTTTCTTAATAACAGATTCATAAGTAAAAAGTAAAGTGTACCAAGGATTACTGCTTTATTTTAGAACTACATGACAATCAAATTTTATTGAGAGATGTAATTCATCTAAAAAGATCGTTTAAGAACGAGAAGTGAATTTACGCAATTCAGTCTGAAAGCTACTCATTCGTAAACTGTCAAGAAAAGGATGCAATCAGCACAGTTTTAATTTCCATATTCTCACCCAAAAATAAAAATTTCACCAAATTGGAACTGATCAGGATGTCAGGTTTTGCATAAGCAGGTGACCATGAAAGATAGAAAACTTGAATAACGGGCTGCAGTTATTTGCGGGGAACCTCAGGCAATGAATGTTATTCGTAATCCCTTTCTCGTTTTATGTAGAATAAAGTAGCTGTTGTCATAAAAATGCATAATTAATGAGCATAGAGGGGAAAGGTGCAAGACGACTGAACTGATTCCACATTAACTATGATTTTTAAGAATGTTTAGAAATTCCTTGGGAATTTCCGAAGGTTAAGATTTTTGATATCCCAATTTGAAGCCTGTGATTTTCTAGTTCTACACTAGAAATAAGATTTTTTGCTTGAAGAATCAAGTGGCATATTTTTTTTAATGAAAAATGTAGACTATTTTTTAATAAAAATGATATAGTTAAACATTAAAATTTTTTATTTGAAAAAATTGGTGCAATTATGAATTTCAATTAAAGGATTTTGTTTAAATATGTAAGTAATATTTAAATTGTGAGGTGATATTTTTGCGCTGTCAACAAATATTATATTATCTATATTCTGTTATTGCATATTATTTAAATTTATATAATGATCAATAAAAAATTATTAAATTTGCACAGTCTTAAAGTTAATCAAAATTTATGAAATAATTCAAAATTGGGACAATTTTTGCGACGCAGTCTTATAAAATATACTATTTAAGTAATATACTTAGTATTTAAATTATTCACTGGGGAAAATATTGAGCATAACTACGATAATATGATAAAATTTACCGTGTTTTTAGCTCTCTGGTAACACCAAAAAGCTCAATTTTTGCGATGTGATTTGTTTAAATAACTATTTAACTTGTGTAAATAGCAGTGAATTTGGTAAAATAAATTTAAAATATAGTTTTGCAATGTGTGATAATATTTGGTATATGCGAATTATACGGTTAATTAATATTTATAATTTAATTCAAACCCAGTCAATTTATATTTAAGATCTATAATAGATTACAAGATGTACATGAATGTTTACTGCGCAGTGGGATATACTCTACTAAAAAAAGACTAAAAAAATGTTTCCAGAACTAGACTTTTTAATGTTTGTTCTAAATTTTTAAACTATGAAGGAAATTATAAAATAATGCTGTAAAGCTGAATGTGTAGTTACGACCCTTAACACAGAGGAGAAAAGTATAAAAGCAAAAGGAAAATATTAAATTTTTGAGTTGATAAATGTTTATTCCACTTTATGTTAAGTGTTGTTTACTTTGAAAGTAAATTTCAGGGTTTAATTTTACATTGATATAGCAATTAGGGTCTTAAATACCAGAATATGGTAAAATTTACCTTGTTCCTGGCTCTATGAGAACATTAAAAAGCTTGGTAATTTTCGCAGAAGCGCTTTGGAAAGGATTTAGGTAAAATTAACAATAAAATAAGGTTTTATAATATGTGATGAAAATTTGTAAGTGTGGTGATATTTAATTTTTTTTAATGATACCTTAGAACATAGTATAAAAACCATTTATTCGGTTAAATTTATTTTTCTGTCTTGTATTATTTGCTAAATGTGTGGTAATAAAAGCCATAATTTTGAAAATGAGAATTTACTGTAAACCATTACCATACGAACGGAAAAATTTAAAAAATGAAAGGTTTAAATAATATTATAGTTTTATTATGAGAATTATGTTTTTTTTATTATTTTTAATCAGAAATGTCATTAGCTTGTAGTATTACCAGAATGTTTTTTCCTTTCCCCCCTAGAACGTGCAATTTGATTTTTTTGTGTGCTGTTGCTTGAAAACAATATCATAAAAATTTTGTTTTGAAATGTAAATCTTTCCATGTGCTTGAAAAAACACATTGTTATTCGTTGATACAAAATTAAAATTTTTAATATTAATTTCATGAAAAAGGTAAATTAATGAGATAAGTATCTTAAAACAATTTAGAATAATTGTTATAATTTTTGCTATAATTTCAGATAGAATATCAATTATATTTGGAATCAAATTTAAAAAGATTAATCCATGTAACAAAACATGCTTTTGCATACGAGGATCGGTTTTTATTTCGTGTCTGTACTTTTTCTGAGGAGCTGATTGATTTAAATAAAAAATTTAAAATTAAATACAATTTAGTCCTTTTTTCTGGACAAATACTTTTTTCAATTTTACGTATTCAGGGGTCTGTTCAGACCGAATTTACTACCGTTTAGCGGTACCTTCACAAATTCAACTTTAGGAAAAACGGTAGTTTCACAAATTTAATTTTAGGAAAAACGGTAGTTTCACAAAATACTTTCTTAAAATTATACATTTGTATTCCTTAAGAAATGATAAATCCATATTCTTGCCATATTTTTGTGTTGGATTTTTAAATATAATTTTTATTTTTCACAAAGTATGTCTAAATTTTCACAAAATAGGTACCTCTCAGAAAAACCTAGACAGATCCCTGGTATTTATTTCATTTAACTCAAATGAAGTGTATTATTAAAAATTTTATCAACTTAACAAAATTTAAGTAATGGTTCATTTTTGTTTGAAATCAGCGCAATTGCTTATCTATATTCAAAATTTAAAACAGGTTATTTAAATTCAAATCTTTAACAAGTGAATATTTAAGTTTAAAATTTAGCAATTGTTCAGTTATACTTAAATTTCTGACACTTAATATTTCTGTTCTACATATTTATATTCAAAAGTTTAACAAAAAATGTTTGACATTCGTCTTTGAATGTTTAACATTCGTTCATTTATATTCAAAAGTTGAACACTTGCTCATTTATATTAAAAACTTCAACATTCTTTGATTTTTATTCAAATTTTAGTAACTGCTAATTTATATATTTATTTTATATTTTATATGTACTTAGATAGTCAAATTTCAGTCCGTTTCAAATTTCTTCAAATTTTCTACTCTTCATGGGATTTTTTATATTGATTTCCGTTATAAGTTGTATTGATATAAAAGCGAAATTAAGTTGTTTGCAAAAAAAGTGAGAAATTTCATTGTTACTAACATTTATATGCTGACATTAAATTACACATGAACTAAAAACGTAGGGATTTTTCGAGTAAATACTTTTTTTTCTTAAAAAGTTACAGAAAGTGTTTTATATAAGGCTAAACTAGATTGCCGTTTTCCATCTTAAAACATCATAAGTCAAAGATGGAATGAAAAGTGTTTAAAAAAAATGTAAACCATATGATCTATTTTTCTCTAAAGAATAAAAAAACATTATCGGAAGTAACGAGCTTGACTTGTTCTTATTTCACTTTTAAAATTAATTCATTCATATTTTTTTTTAAAAAATTGTAGAGGTGAAGAAGTCAAAGTAAAATTGAAAGTTTTCAGTTATTGAGTTGTAAAATTTGTGAATAAACTATG